ATCACCTGTTCTATATCTATGCATTTGGTTTTTCTTGCCTAAGTGTAAAATCTTACTTTTCTTGTAACTGAATTGCATTTTGTTGGATAGGGCCCTGTATTCAAGTCTGTCAAGATCCTTGTGGATCTTGAGCCTATCTTCTCATGTGTTGTTTATTCCCTCCAGCTTGGTGTTGTCTGCAAATTTGATGAATTCCCCTTTTATTGTCTCATCTAAATTGTTTATGCTGAACAATACTGCGCGTAAGATAGAACCCTTGGGTACCCCACTGCATGCTTCCTTCCATATAGATGATTGTAATTCCATCTTTATCTTCGGGGATTTGATTGACTGTGGTTCTTTTCGGTGTGCTGCCTAAAATGGTAATCCCAGTTATTTCTCCCACTTCTCTCCCTGAATCTTAAATTTAAAAAACTGTACTTTTGTCTCAAATCTTCAGTATGACTGAATAGCACTGCTAGGAGTGGGACATTTTGGCTAAGTGCAATTTAACCAAGAGAAGACATTGTGAAGTTGCTGGATTCATTAGCAAAGAATATGTAATTAAGTGGGCATACAGTTGCTCTCCAGCACTCTAAGATGCTTTCAAAATTTTATTGCTGCAAAACTGGGACTGTATGCTAATTCAAGCACCTAAATCTAAAGAACAGAAAAATAACAAGATAAATAGACAAATAGGCATCTTCTCATAGTGAAGGAGCATTTTAGGAGTGTAACTTCTCACTTCCTGCATATTCACTCTCATCTGAGTTTGCCATAGCAATGGTGCTGGAACCTTTTTTACTGCATTCCTGACTACTATGGGGTTATTCAGAAAAACTCTGATTTCCTTAGATGCCTTATATTTGTTTTGGAAACAAAAGGGCCATAGAGGAAAAGTTTTAACAGGCCAAATGGAGAGAATGTTAATTGAACTTCTGGAAAAGAATCTTAAGTAGAGTTAAACTCTAACTCATTAATCTTTGGTGGTATGGCCTATGCCTCCATCTTCTGGTTCAATGTGATTATTGCATGATAAACCTGTCAAAAAAAATCCCCACTGTGTGTGAGGAAGGGGAGCATGCATGTTTAAATTGGCTTTCACGTTTTGTGTCTGGAAAAAGCAATTGAAAGGCACTTGCTGTAGAATAAAAACAAGCAATTGTTAACCAACATCATTGCCTTAAGCATGCTGTGAGAAAGTGAAGGACACGAAGAAGAACAGATAGAATGAACGATTTGCATCTGTGTTGGAACAATTAGATATTTTGCTTTCTTTCTTTGGTTTTATCATATTTAATTTTAGGTGAGAGATTCAAAATGGGACAAAGGTCATTTTAATTTTGTTTTTCTTATATGTGAATGTATTTTTTATTATGAAACTTTTAGAAAAAATATAGGTACTTTATAACTATCTATGATAATAGAAATAAGTATAAGACCCTGACATGCTATTTTATATATGGAAGGAACTGAAGAAAAAAAAGAGAAGGCTAAAATTAAGATGTGCAACTTTCACTTGTTTGGCTGTATTTGTCCACGAATGGTTTTTGGTGGTGATTTGATTTGATCCTTCTATAATGCAGTGCCCCAAAGTATGTTCTACCAATGCTATTTATTTAAACATTTATTTATTCAATGATTTGGATGAGAGGATAGAGGGGTAACTCATCAAATTTGCAGATGACACCAAGATAGCAGGAATAGCCAATACTCCAGAAGATAGGCTTAAGATACAGAAGGATCTTGACAGACTTGAACATTGGGCGCTGAAAAAAAATAAGGTTCTACATTTAGGCAAGAAAAACAAAATACACAGATACAGTATATGTGGTACCTTGCTCAACAGTAGTAACTGAGAGGGAGCTTGGCATCCTAGTGGACAATCATTTAAATATGAGCCAGCAATGTGCTGCAGCTGCCAAAAAAGCCAACACAGTTCTAGGCTGCATAAACAGAGGGATAGAATCAAGATCATGTGAAGTGTTAATACCACTTTATAATGCCTCGGTAAGGCCACACTTGGAATATTGCATTCAGTTTTGGTAATCACAATGTAAAAAAAGATGTTGAGACTCTAGAAAGAGTACAGAGAAGAGCAACAAAGATGATTAGGGGACTGGAGGCTAAAAATATAAAAAATGTTTGCTGGGACTGGGTATGTCTAGTTTGATGAAAAGAAGGACTAGGGATAACATGACAGCTGTGTTCCAGTATTTCAGGGGCTGCCACAAAGAAGAGGGAGCCAAGCTATTCTCCAAAGCACCTGAGGGTGGGACAAGAAGAAATGGGTGGAAACTAATCAAGGAGAGAAGCAACTTAGAACTTAGGAGAAATTTCCTAATAGTTAGAACAGTTAATCAGTGGAAGAAATTGCCTCAAGAAGTTGTAAATACTCCAACACTGGAAGTTTTTAAGAAGAGATTGAATAACCATTTGTCTGAAGTGGTGTAGGGTTTCCTGCCTAAGCAGGGGATTGGACTAGAAGATCTCTAAAGTCCCTTCCAACTCTGTTATTCTATAATTCTAAAGAATCAAGTTGGGACTGCTTAGTATAGCATGCATTCCTGGGGTTTGTTTGTTTGTTTATATTTATTAGATTTTTATTCAACCTTTATTATTTTTTAAGTAACTCAAGGCAGCAAACATGCCTAATACTCATTCTTCCTCCTATTTTCCCCACAACAATCCTGTGAGTAAAGATTGGGCTGAGAGAAGGACTGGCCCAAAGTCACCCAGCCAGCTTTCATGCCTAAAGTGGGACTAGAACTCATAGTCTCCTGTTTTTTAGGCCAGCACCTTAATCACTGTATTAAACTGGACAATCTGGCTCTTCTTATGTCTTTTAATCTGGTAACAACCTCTAATTAGGAATTATTATTTTCTTGGGTCTATTGACTCTTTTTGTTTATTTACTTATTTACATGAAGGGAGAAACATACATTGGAAGGAAGCTTACTGTATCCTGAAGTTTTGAAAAATAATTGTCATTGGAGTTTCATATGCATAGTATGTACAACAGGTCTAGTGTAAGGTGGACTATATTAAAATCTGTGTGTGCTGTGTGCTGTTAGACAATTATCATTTTACTTTTCTCAGATTTTTACCAGTTACATTGACTTATTGTATCCAACAGAAGATAGGAATGATCGATTAAAAGATTCCTATTTCTTTACCTGTGATTGCAGGGAATGTTTTACTAAAGAAAAGGTAAGCCAATTTAACCATTTAATGATATGCTTTATTACTTAGATTGTTAGACTGACTCAGATCATAACATTATTCTTATAATATATAGCATTTTGATAGTGCCTGCAGTACTTGAGACCCCCAAACAAACTTGGGATTTTTGAGGTCATTTAGAACTAAGGAGAGATTGAAACCCAGGTTAAGTTTCCATTTCATGTTTGTCTGCTTCCCTTCCTATTGTATCTTAACCACAGCACTTATTTCTATTACCATGCAATGCTCTTTTCCAAAAACATTCCATAATTCAGATCAGTTAGGTGAAATGGTCAGAAGCCAAGGGTAGAAGGGTCATAGATCCCTCATCCCCAGCCATGGGGGGATTTATGAATTAAAACAAGAAACCGCTCTCTTACTTTCTTAGTAACTTTTGTCTTATAGATGGAATTGTAGCCTTCTAAGTCAGATCTCATTTTGAAATTGAATTAATTTTAACTTCCTTCTTTGTCAGTCTTCTGTAATCTAGGGCCTTCCAGATCTCCTCACGATCACAGTAGCTAGCCCATGGCTTTGAGTTTGATAGAAATTAGCCAGTATATCCAGAAGGAACCAAGTTTTAAGATGCCTTACGCATTTTGATCGGTTTTAGTTACTGCAGTTTGCCTGTGGATCTGCTTTTTGTTTTTGGAATAGCCTTTGTAACTTTCTTATAAATTTTCCCTCAGGACAAAGATAAACTGGAAATCCGTAAACTGAATGAGCCTCTGTCAACGGAGGCTGTGCGAGATATGATCAGATATGCCAGAAATGTGATCGAGGAATTCAGGAGGGCCAAACATTACAAATATATCCTTTGATGTTATCTTTCTTGTGTCCATTTCTGCAAAGCTGAAATTTCAGTTCAATTTAGCCATCTCACTTGTTGAGGCATATCCAAAAAATGATTTTCCAAAAATTTGGGTTGCAGCTCTCAAATAGAAACTTTTAAAGAATTTTATTTGAACTGCATTGTTAAGCCATCCTAATTCATGGTTCCTGGACTAAGGTACAGATTAGAAAACAGTTGTTGTTCTGTAATGTATTTCTCAGCTCAAAAAGTGTATGTATGTATGTATGTATGTATGTATGTATGTATGTATATATGGTATTCAGCTTTGTTCGGGTATTTTCCCACGTCATTATAGTTGTGTTTTTAAAGTTGTAGCAACATTTCGCCAGAATCTCATCTGCCATCATCAGGCTTCTGTATTGTGTTCGTCTGTGAGTCAGACAGACATACACACACACACACACACACACACACACACACACACACACAATGCCTATTGGAACCATAATTTGAACATTTAAACTAATATATGAGGTGTATTATGAATAAGTGGTGAAAATGTTCATTGATGTTCATACAATCTAAAAAAAACACCCTACAGATCAGCATTGGAAACAGGATGAGGCTGTCATAAGACATCAGACTGAGGTGGATTGGAAATAGAGTGTTGTTTCCATCCATCCTTATTGAAAGCATGCTCCATCTTCCTGGAATGAAAACAAGCAAGAGAAAAAATATTTGGTATCATTGAAATTCTACTGTTGATCTACTATCAGCCTCATGTTGTTTTGTGTAGGTTTTAAACAACATGCAAAGATGAGCTGAAACTATGCAGCACCTCAAAGGCCAAATGTCATATGAAGCCATCATTACTATAATTCCTCTACTCTAGGCGTTCAGAGAAAATCCTAACTAGGAGGCTACATATTTACAATGAATATCTCCTTAAATTCTAGTCTGTAAGAACAAAAAGCAAGTAGGTTGTAGTTTCAGTTGAGGCGGTAATGATGGGACATAATATTCAGAAACCTAACCTGGAAAATATAGTTTTTATTTGTCATGTACCTTAACTCTTGGCTTACCCCCAGGTGAACTGCAGGAGATTTGTGAGCTCAGTCTGGACAAGTTGGGTTCTGTGTTTGCAGAGAGTAATGTTTACATGTTGCATATGATGTACCAGGCCATGGGAGTTTGTCTGTACATACAAGACTGGGAAGGTGCTTTGCGCTATGGGCAGAAGATTATTAAGCCATATAGGTATCTGACTTTTCTTCTTGCAATTTGTACAATATAGTAGTTTGAAATATCTGTAAAGAAATACATCTAACTAAACACACTGTTTACATTCCTAAGTATTTTGGTGTCCAATATAAAATTACCTAAAACAATTACTTGAAACAACACGAGCCTGCTTTTGGTGACAATTTTCTTGAGGCAACAACTTTTAATTACTTTACATTGATGTTTAAATATATATATATATATATATAT